TACATGATAATTAAAAGTACCGGATTGGTGGAACTAACCTTCTTGGATATCTAACAGCCATATTCTGAGGCCTATACTAATTTGGTCAGAGGAACATACAGGACAGTTTTTGCTCCTTGCCCTCCTAGGTTGACTAAGCTCCAGGGGACTATGAACATCTCACAATGTCCTGTAACTGTAGTGAGTCACCTGTCCTCTTGATCAAGGAGGCCATGGAGACCCCACCAAATGGACTTGAACCAGTGTCCAGTCTGCAAAGAGGAGGGTCAACACAGAGGAAAAATCTCCTCCATGCTTCCAAGTGAAGCCAGCCACAGTCGAGCAGGACCTTTGATTTGTCTTCACATATATGGAACTGGTAAAAGAAAGGAGCCAGGGGCTCTTCCCAAGCCCATGTGACCCCTGAGGAACAGATCCTCAAATGACCTTAAGAATAAAAATAAATTGGTTTATCTGGGCCAACTGTATGGTCTTAAACACCCAAAAGGAAAGTATAACCAAAGATTAAAGGGATCGATATAATTCTTTTAGTGTATAGCTAAAAGCTGCATAGCAAGAAACAATGCCAGACAGGAGATACCTTCCTTTGAGTTGTTGGCCAGGGTGGCCCAAGTACTCCCAGATAGTAACCCAGAATAGAACTGGGAAAATGAACAGCAGACCCCAATCTTATCTAAAGGAATATTGACAACTGCTTGCTGCTAGATGAGGAAGAGCTGAGCTTCCTAAAAGAACGAACTCTAGATAGGCTGACTAGATTTAGCAGATGGGCAAGCACTGGAGAACAGCCAGGGGCACCAAAAACACAATGGACAGTAACAGGGATTACAGAGTACATAGGCTCCATTGGGGGGGGGGTAATATGGGAGGGTGTCATTTGGGATGTGGGTATACAGATGAGTAAGATTGTTTGGGATGTTCCATATGAAATACACACAAAAAATCAACAAATTTAAAAACTGAGTTATATTTGAGGAAGAAGCATAAAGATTGGCTTCATGTTAATTAGTAGAGGTGAAACACATTACCATTGAACTCTACCTGATGATTTTATATCCTCAGGTGCCAGGGATCTCAGAAGATAACCGACTGTGACTAGTAATAATCAGATACATAGAGATTAGAAATGCATGTGCAAACATCTAAGTGTTAGTAGCATTAAAATGAGTTTTTCCATATGAAAGGACATTTTTAAATGAAATAGAGATCTTTCTCTAAAGGTTAAAACCTCATTTAATTTTATGTCTTATAGGGTTTATACTGAGTTCAGTATTGTATAACTGTATTAATTCAATGATGAACCTAAAAATTTACAGCCAATTTTGAAAGAGATGCATCTTTGCTCTGGAAATTGCTATTGAATATGTTAATGCTGTAATGAAATGCTTCTTCTAATCACATGATTTTTAAATAATTTTTTAAAAAACAACACCATGACACCATAAAAAATGACTTCTGGGAGAGTTTGTTTTGGCTTACCGCTCCAGAAGGAGAGTCCATAATGGCAGGAGCAGCATGGCAGCAGGCAGCCAGAGCAGGAGGCTGAGAGAGAACTGGAAGTGGGGCAGGCTATAAACTCTCGAAGCCCACCCCCACTGACCCACTTCCTCCAGCAAGGCTTCTGCTCTTAAAGGCTCCATAACATCCCCAAACGGGCCACCAGCCGGGGACTGTGTTCAAATACCTCAATTTGGGGAGCATTTTTCATTCAAACCACCACATCTTGTCTGTGAGGGAATTTCTAGACTGGGATAACTGAGGTGGGAAGACCCTCCCTAAATGTGGGCAGCACATCCCATGGGCTGGGGTAGTGGACTGAATCAAAAGGAGAAAGCAAGTTGAGCACTAGCATTCATCTCTCTCTGCTTCCTGTCTGCAAAGTGAATGTGGCCAGTTGTTGCACACTCTTGTTGCACACTATGATGGAGCAAAAATAAACTCTTCCTTCCTTAAGTTGCTTCTTGTCAGATATTTTGTCACAGCAATTAGGACAGTAACTAGTACATGTGGTTAAATGCTGAGAATCAGTCATTCCAATTGAAGGAGATTTAACAGTCACTCTGATCCTTACAACTTTTCTTCAGGTTAGACATCTCTTCAAAATCACAATTGGGAGCCAGGTGTATTGGTCATCCCAGTACTCTGGACGTAGAAGCAGGAAACTCAGGAGTTCAAGGCCAGCCTAGGATACATGAGACTGTCTTAAAACCCCACCACCACCACCACCAACAACAACAAATCTGGGGGATTAAAAAAAATTCATATCATACTTTTAAGCTTAATAAAAAATCCATTTTCCTGTACTGAAAATTAAGCCCAAACTCCTCATAGATGATGAGACCTATAAGATCTAGCCCAGTCAACCTCTCCCAGCATTTCCTGCCACCCTCCCTGTCACCTGTCACACCCCACTTCATTTCTTCCAGCAGTGGGCAGACACCCTGGCCCCTCACCTTAGAATCCTTCCCTGGGCTGGGAGGCCTTCTCTGAGCTTATGGCTAGCTGGCTCCTTCTCATCCTTGAGATTTCAGTTAAAATACCAGCTGACCAGACACACTCTGCCACCATCACCTCTCAGTGTGCCAACCACCTTTAAAACTAATGTCTAGGAAGGTCCAACATCAGGCTAGCCCACTAATAAGTTGTAATCCAAGCCACATAGATGCAGATATGTGACCTTATATGTACTGTCTGATTGAACCCCACTGATCTACAAACTCATTCTAGGGGCCAGTGAGATAGCCCAGTGGATAAAGATACCTGTTGCCAAGCCTGAGTTTGATCGCCAGAACCCACATGGTGGAAGGAAAGTACTGCCTCTCAAAAGTTATTCTCCAAGTAGGTACACCCACACACATACACACAATAAACATACACACATAAACAGATATACACAGACACAGATATGCACATACAACACACATGCACATATCTGTATACACACGCACAAACAAATAAAATTTTAAGAAAAAAATGGTTCTTTTCTTTCTCTCATTTTACAGTTCAGCAAATGAAAAATCAAGTAAGTGAACTTCCACCAAGGGCACGGAACTGGGAAGAGGTGAACCCAGAATTCACTCTAAGCAGTCTGTCTTCAGAAATACAGCTCTGGACAAACTGCCAGAAAAAGCCCAGAGATGCCAAGCCACTGGGCATCTCAAAGTCAGGACTCAGAATCTGTCAGCCATGCCAACTCATTGAAGATTTTTCTAGAGGAAACACTACCACCTACTGTTTGCAGATGATGTCCTTCCAGAATCAGCTCTTGATTCAAGTTCAAAGGGCTGTGGCTTTGCAAGGAAGGGTCACCACCACTTCAGCTGAACTGGTGTTGAGCTGCATTTATGGTAATATGTGATTATTCAGTGAGCACTTGCTGTCACAAGCCTGTCAAGGTGTCTAGCTCCAGGAAGGACTTGTCACACTGGTTTGGCAAAAGGTATACCTATGACATTCATCCATTCCTTTTTTTTTTTTTTTAAGATTTCTTTATCCAGTAGTGAAGAAATATCAAAGCAATTGCTACTGATTCTTGAATCTGCCTCCAAAGCAAAAGAAGAGAGGGGGAAAGTACTGAGAGCTGAAATCTGGTCATCTGTGACTTTCATATTACCTTTTTCAGTGACCCTGCTCAGTGTTTTATACCAGGTATCTTCTCAAGCTCACCAGCCATGAGGTTTAGGGCTGGGCACCTACAAGACAGCCTCAACAGTTCCCAGTCACAAGCAGGGTCTGACTCATCCAGATATCCCACATCAATTCTTAATGAGTCCACTGTCCCCGAAGCCTTGCTATTCCTTCCTGTCTTGTGAATCCCCCAGTGCCCTGAAGGATCACCATCCAAAATCCCTGACACTTTACAAGACCCCACTTCTTAATCACAGCCCTCCTTTCCATCCCAGACCTAATCTGTGGCTCTTCCTTCACCTCCTTCCTTCCTCTTCTTGTTCTTCCTCTTCCTACCTCTCTGCCCTCCTCCTTTCTTATTCTCCCTGTTCCTCCTCCTCTCTCTCCCCTTCTTTCTCTTCTTGTTCCTCCCTTCTCTCCTCCTGCTCCCTCCTCCTGTACCCCTAGGCCTCCTCCCCTTGTCCTTGTACCCCTACTCCTGCTTCCCCTTCTCCTTCTACCCCTACTACCCACCCCCTATCCTTCCTCTGTCCATCTGAAAGCTGAAGACTCACCAGGTGCAGGGCCAGGGGCAGCAGCAGCAGGAACAGCCACAGGTAGAGGTGGCAGCTGTTAGTGAACTTGCTGTGCTCAGGGTCGTGGTACCAGCCGCCAGTGAGTGCGGCCCAAACGCCCTGCCTGAGCAGCTGCAGCACCTGGGACGCCATGCCCTCAGCGCCCCGCGGAACCCCGCGGCCAGGCAGAGAGACTGCTCGAGCCCTGGGGCTCAGCACCCTGGGCTCAGGTCCGCACCTCCACCGCCGCTGCAGCCTCCGCCGCCCAGTCCCGGGCAGATGTTCCACAACGCAGACCCGCAGAGCAAGGCGCTGAAGCCCACGGCTGCGGCTGGGCAGGTGAGCGCCATGTCCAAGGGAGGAAGGATTTTCCCATCGTGCTCAGCGGTGACTGCTAAAGGATGCTTCTGTGACTCCGCCCCGCGCCCGCCCCAGGCTAGGAAGGAGCTCAGTCCCTCCCTCTCCCTTCTTCCTGTCTAGGGCTCCACTTTCCCTTCTCCTGAGCCTCCCAAGAGTGAGTTTGTAAGGTGTGAGAACCACACGTGTTCCTATGCATAAGCCACAGACAGGAAACTCCTCCCTTTATGTATGTGTTTTTATTATTATTATTATTATTATTATTATTATTATTATTATTACCTGCATCAAAAGAGTTGTTCAATCTCGAGGCCCTGCCTTGCAGCACTTACTGCAGTTTTTCCTGAGCCCCATCTGCAGGGGCTTGGTCCCTGGGAAATTGCCACATAGAGACGATAGCCGCCTTCCTGGAACAATTTTAGAAGCCTCAATTAGTTCCTTGTGTTATTTTGTTTTATATTTTGCTTTATTTGTGAGGTAGAAGACTGGGTTGGCTTGGACTTACTATGTGGCTTAAGCTGTCCTCAAAGTCATGCCAACCCTCCTGTCTCAGCCTCCTGAGTATTAAGATTACAGCTGTGAGTCACTGCATCCAGTTTGTCTTCCCTTATATTTCTTAGGACATAATTCTAGGCAGCAATCTTCCATTTAAAACAACCCTCAGTATTTCTCTGCTGTTTAATGGGAATCCTCACTAAGGAGAATTTTAATAAGTAGAATGCTTTGTGCTGTAAAATAATCAGTTCACAGTTTGCTCTGCCGTAATGTGTTTTGGGTTCTCTTTCCAGATCAGGTGGCAGCTGTTAAGGTAGGCAGTAACTGGTGTCATGGTTTGAGTGTGAGAATTCCCCCACAGACTCAGATGTTTGAACACTTAGTCCCCATCTGTGGGAGCTATTTTGGGAACTTGTGGAAACTTTGGGACCTGTCAGAAGTGAGTACCTGGAGATCATTCTCAATAGTTATACCTATTTCTGGTTTCCATCAACCAATATGTGAAGACGTGCACAACCAAAGACGGCCACTTCACCTGTTCTCCTTCCTTGCAATGATGGACTACACTCTCAGAAACCATGAGCCAAGATAAACCTTTCTTTAAGTTGAAACTGTCAGGTATTTTGTTGCAATAACAAGAAACATCAATAATGCAAACAGGAACAGGTTTTCTCTGGGAATGAGTGGGGGAAGCACTAAGTGGTTGACATCTTGGGGAAGAACAAAGGTCAGAAGGCTCTGAGTTCCTCACAGACTTGCTTTCCTCACACTTGCCTGTCTGTTCCCAACACACCACACTTTTCTGACCTGTGCACTTGCATGCCCTGCCAGGTCCTGGTCTGCAGCATGATCCCCTTGGTCAGGCCCGGGTAAGGCACCCATCCTTTCCACACTGTAGCGACAGAAAAGGACTCAGACTCATGGAGAACCTGACCTGATGTGCCCCTTACAGGCTCATGTGTTGAAGGCCTTTCCTCCCCCCTGGTGCTGCTATTTGGGGAGATACAGGTAATGTTAGGAGCTGGGGCCTGGTTGGAGGAAGAAGGTCACCAAGCTGTATCTTCAAAGGGTGGCTTGGCCTGGCTCCCTCCTGTCTCTCTTTCTCAACTGCCTGTTTCCATGAAGTGAGAAGCTTCAGTCCACTGCGTTTTCCTCAGCAGTGTGCTCTGCCTCACCTTAGACCACAGCAAGAAAGTTATCTGCCCATGGACAGAAACTTCTGGCAGAATGAGCCCTAAACAAGTTTTTCTTCATTTAAGTTGATTTTCTCAGGTATCTGTCACAGCAGCACAAAGCTGACCAGTACAGGGACAGGGAAGGCCACAGCAGAACCTCACAGTATGTTACTGTTTGAATGTGTAATGACCTTCACATGCTCATGTATTTGAATACCTGTTCCACAGCTGGTGTCACTGGGGGGCTGGCCTGGGTTTTATAGCTGGCCCCACTTCAACCTGAGCACTATCCACTTTGTGGTCCACCAAGACATGAGCAAGTAGCCTTCTACTCCTGACACCTCCTGCTGTTCTTGCCACAAATGTCAACCTCTTCTGCCCACTATGCACTCCCTACATTGGACTACATCTCTTCATCCATGAGCTGAAAGAAACTCTTCCTCCTTTAAGTTGTTTTTCTCAGGTATGTTAACACAGTGACAAGCAAAGTGGCAAACATGGCGGTGCTGCCTCTGGTTTGAACTGGTTTTCCCTCTTCTGTAGGAATGACTAAATTTAACCTGATGCTGCTTTCATTGCTGCGAGAGTCACTTTTTCAAAGACACAGTGGGAGTTTATTACCTTGGTGCTCTAAACCTATGGCATGTTCTGTAAATGTTTAAGGGTAAACCACCTTATCACCTCTGTAAACCCCTCACTACAGGCTCACCCTTCAGGGCACAGACATGGGAGGAATGCTGTGCAGAAAGTGTGCTCCTGTCCTGCAGAAGTGTCTCTGTCCATCTGCCATGAGTCATCAAATATTTATTGAGCAATTTCTGTGTGCAAGAGATAGAGTGACTATCGATCAAATACGGTCCCTGCCAGGATGGCATTTACAAACTGTAAGAGGAGATAGGAAAAGCATCAGATGTGCAGGGAAATGCACTTTGTGCTGTAATGGGAATGGAATGGGCACATGGGTCCAGAATGTTTGGAAAATGACAAGAAAGGGGGTGTCAGTGTGCAGGAGAACTGGGTCTTATGGCTGAGTATCAGATCTCCATAGATAAAGATGTATTTTATAGTTTTCTATGCAGAATTCTGGTGTGTAATTTACTGGTACCAAGGATGGGCCATGAGCCAAAGAGATGGGGCAAGAGAAGAAGATAAAATTTGGAACACCTTGGGCCAGAGAAGAGCTGTGGTGGAAATGCTGACATCATAGTCACCATTATAGTCAGAATTGTGTCTAGGCTACAGTGGCTAAGGATTGCTGTTAAAGAAATATGTGCTTTGGCCTCCCCTTGGGTGGATGATATGCCTGTAGGGGAAGGGCAGGGATTCAGCTATGTTTGAGTCACTATCACAGGATGTACCGAGAAGTTTAATCCCCCAAGGGAAGTCACTTGCCAAAGCCTCCCTGTTCCTTCCCCTCCTCCCCCATCAACCACAACTCCAAGTGCACCTGGTGCCTTCATGAGTGGGTTAACAGAAGATGAAAAGATGGCAGTGCCAAGCAGCAGAGCCCAGTGAAGAGACGCAGCGGATGACAGTGCTGGACAAGAACAGGCTGCTTGGCATTCACCTCTGCATCAGCATGGTCTGTGGTGTTAGTTACATTTACTGTTGCTGCATCAAAATGCCTGACAAAAGCTACTTCAGGAAGGAAGATTTTCTCTTGGCTTATGTTTGAGGGTACAGCCCTTCATGGCAGGGAAGGCATGGCGGCAGGAGCAAGAAGCAGCTGTCACAATGTCCACAGTCAGGAAGTAGAGAGATGAATGCTAGTGTTCTGGTCCTTTCTCCTTTTATTCAGGACAGGATGCCAGGTGATAACTCCAGGGGATTGGACCCCCTCTTCTGGCCTTCAAGGGCACCTTCACTCATACACACAGATACACACACATACACATATTAAAAATAAACCTTTAAAAATAAAATAAACCAAATGTGGTGCATGCCTATTATCCCAGAACTTAGAAAGTTGAGGCAGGAGAATGGTGGATTCCAGAAAATCCTGAACTAGTGAGACCTTGTCTCAAAACATAAAATAAAATGACAGCAGGAGGTGTTAAAGAAGAGCAGTGTAAAAGTAGACAAGCACTTGATCCTAACACAACTGCATTTTCAGTATGTAAACACTCTCAGGAATGTATGATGGAAGAGTAACTCGCCAGCTCATTTCATAAGTCAACTATTTCCCTGTCATAGGTGACAGCACAAGAAAAGAAAGTTGCAAAGCACAAATTGTGCTCAACAAATAGCTTGAGTTATTTTCCTCATTAATTTTGTAGTTTTCCTTCATGAAAAACTACAGAAATACACACATACACATACCTAAATACACATACACACATACCTATACACCTGTATACAAAAAACACATACACATGTACACATACCACACTCACCATATGCATTCATACATATACAAACATAAAAATACATGCACATACACACATGCAAACATACACACATGAATATACACCACACACATACACACTACACATATACATATATACATGAAAACACACATGTGTACATATATACATACATACACATTCACATATGCATACATATATACATACATACTCCACATAATTCATAATTCATATTCTTCCACATAATTCAAGTCCAAATTAAATTCAAATAACTGAAATCTTTGAGAGTTCATGAAATTTTCTCTAAAACAAACAAGATATCAAAAATTTTTAGAAAATATAGGTTTAAATACACACACACACACACACACACACATATATATATATATATAGTCTTTTTGAGAAGGGTCTCCCTGTAGTCCCAGCTGGCCTGGATTCGCTATGCAGACCAAGCTGGCCTAGAACTCACAGAGATCTGTGTGCCTCTGCCTCCCGAGTGCTGGAATTAAAGGCATGTGCCACCACATAAAGAAAGATGTACACATTAAGTGCAGTCAAATTAAATATTCATATCTTTCGAGGACCTGGATCTTTGATAATCATGCAGTCTCTCCAGACTTGTTTAAAGTTTTTATTAGATTTGTTTGTATATATGAGAGAGAGAGAGAGAGAGAGAGAGAGAGAGAGAGAGAGAGGTACATCCCTCCGGTGTGGAGGTCAAAGGACAACTTGTGAGAGTCAGTTCTCTCTTTCCACCAGGTGGGTCACAAGGATAGGCTTGGAGGCAGCAGCCTTTTCCAACTGAGCCCTTTTGGTAGACCTCCAGTCATGTTTCGGTGTGAATGGGCCCTGCTGATGTAACCGAGCACATCAGTGTCTCAGGCAGTGTTTGTATGGCATAACTGCGTGCATTAC